CAGACTTAGGCTTCCCTTTCCTTTAGCTGATCTGCTCCAGGCCAACAGGAGAGAGCCTCCCAAACCACAGCAGGCAGTTGGGCAGAGGGGCAGTAAACTGAGGCCTGGAGGAAGGGCCTGGAGTGCACAGCAGGCCTGGAACAGAGAGTCTGATGAGGTCGTGTTGAAAAAGGGGCCATTCTGTCCTGCCCTCCCAAGGACCTCTGGCCAAAGCCAGGAGCTCATCCGCTGGCCTGCAGTGGCCAAGGGTCCCCACCTGCCAGGTGCATGGTGTAGAGGAGAGAGCCCTGGACCTAGGGTCGGAACTTCCAAGTTCTGGTCCGTGACTGCCATTTATCCACCACATGGCCTTGGGCCCTCCTCTGGGCCTCAGCATCCCCTTACTGTTCAGGCCTTTCAGTCACGTCCGACTCTTTGTGACCCATTTGAGGTGTTATGGGCTAAGATACTGGAGCAGTTTGCCATTTCCTTCTCCAACTCATTTTACAGATGAGGAAACTGAGGCAAACAGGGTGAAGTGACTTGCCCAGGGTCACACAGCTAGGGAGTATCTGAGGCCGGATTTAAACTCTGGTCTTCCTTACTCCAGGCCCAGCACTCTATCCACTGGGCAATCTAGCTGCCCACAGCAGGGCCCCCCCATGAGGGCCGTCCCACAGTGCCATGGGCTTCCCCCATGAGGGCCGTCCCACAGTGCGAGGGCCCCCCATGAGGGCCGTCCCACAGTGCGAGGGCCCCCCCATGAGGGCCGTCCCACAGTGCCATGGCCCCCCCATGAGGGCCGTCCCACAGTGCCATGGGCTTCCCCCATGAGGGCCGTCCCACAGCGTGAGGACCCCCTCATGAGGGCCGTCCCACAGCGTGAGGGCCCCCCCATGAGGGCCGTCCCACAGTGCCATGGCCCCCCCATGAGGGCCATCCCACAGTGCCATGGGCTTCCCCCATGAGGGCCGTCCCACAGTGCCAGGGCCCCCCCATGAGGGCCGTCCCACAGTGCCATGGCCCCCCCACGAGGGCCGTCCCACAGTGCCATGGCCCCCCCACGAGGGCCGTCCCACAGTGCCATGGCCCCCCATGAGGGCTGTCCCACAGTACCATGGCCCCCCCATGAGGGCCGTCTCACAGTGCGAGGGGCCCCCTCAGAGGGGGCAGGCTCCCCTCCTTTGAGGGCATCAGGCAGGGGCTGGACCTCCCCCTTGTTAGGGGGCTATGCTGCAGATTCCCTTTCAGACCCAGCTGACCTGTGAAGGCCCTTCCAAATCCAAAATGGATTTCTCCTTGGAGCCTCACACTGTTTGGTAACATAGCACCCCAGGTATTATCAATCTGCCCATTTTACAGATGCTGAGGCTCAGAGAGATTGCAGAGAGTTGCCTAGGGTCACCCATCTACTAAGTGCCAGTAAGGCACAACACACATGCTGAGAACAGGGGATATCAGAAAGGGGAGGGGCCTGAGAACAGGGGATGGCAGGGCTGGGAGGGCCCTGAGAACAGGGGATGGCAGGGCTGGGAGGGCCCTGAGAACAGGGGATGGCAGGGCTGGGAGGGGCCCGACAACAGGGGATGGCAGGGCTGGGAGGGCCTTGGAGTGGAAGATGTCAGAACTTTGGAATGCATCTATTTCCCCTCATCCCCAGGATCCTCAAGTTTACAGAGGAAGAAACAGAGGGTCAGAGAGCTTTCCTTGCTCCAGGTCACACAGCCTGAGGCAGAACCCAGGTCTTCTGACTCTCTAGAAGAGGCAAGGTTCCTGCCCTCAGGAAGCTTACAGCCAAATCTGGTGGGGTAAGATTTGGCACATAAAAAGGCAGCTGGAATGTTTGCTCAGGAGCCCCAGAAGCTCAGACAGCCTGGGCCCAGAGGAGCCGGGGAGGCCGGGAAAGCCTGAAGCTGGACTTGGAAGCTGTAGGCCCGGGAGGAGCGTGGGTCAAGGCAAGGGCAGCCATCTACTTGGCATGTTCCTAGCACAGAGCCCAGCCCCATCCCTGGAACAGACAGAGGGTTTGTGTGAGCCGGATTGGGGGATGCTAATGATGGGGGACCACACCCATTTCTAACCCTTTCCTCTGGACATCACAGGAGAACCTGATAATTGTCCATTTTATCAAGGAGGAATAGCAGCCCAAAGAGAGGTCTGGCTCAGTCAGTGCAGGAGCGGGGCTTGAACCCAGGTCTAGAGGCCAGTGGCCCAGGAATCAGGCCTGGGTTCAAACCCAGGAGCTGTGTGGGCAAAGGCAACTTTCTGACTCTCGCTCTCTCACTCAGGAGGTTCGGTAGCTCCCTCTTACCTTTGGGATCAGATACCAACTCCCCTGTTTGGCATGGCTCCCCTCACAGCCTGGCTGTGGCCAGCCCCCCCCCCCCAGCTTGATTTTGTCCTGTTCTCCTTCAAGGGTTTCATGTGCCAGCCAAACTGGCTCTCTTGCTGTGCAAGACATTTCATTTCCAGTCTCCCCACTCTTGCAATGGCTGGGCCCCCTGCCTGGTGTGCTCCACCTCCCCACATTCACCTCCGTCAATCCCTCAGCTCCAAGGCCATCTCCTGCAAGATGAGGCCCTTCTTGTTCCAGAGGAGAGCAGAGTGACTCCTCAAGGACGCAGATGGCAGAAACGCCATTAGAAGCCAGCTGGTCCTTACTCCCAGCCTCCAGTCATCCCTCAGGAAGGGACAGCCCCCTTAGTCTCTGGCATTCCCCTCTGCGGCTTCCCCGGCGCACGGGCCAGTCTTCCTTAGTCGGTGAAACTTCCTGGGGAAGGTTTTTCCCTATTTCTTCTGCCTCTCCCAAAGCAAGGTCTGAGACCATCCCAGTGCTGCCATGTGGGGTTGGGCCTCAGTTTTCCTATATGTAAACGAGGACTAGAATCTAGATGGTCTTTCAGGCCCCTCCCAGCCGAGATCTGGGATCCTATAGCTTTGGCCAATTCCCAACCGCTCCTCCCCCGCCTCAGTTTCCCTATATGTAAATGAGGGGGTTGGCCTGGCCGGCCTGCGAGGCCCCTCCCAGTCCTAGGTCTAGGGTCCCAGAACACCGGCCAGTCCCCACAGACGTCCCCCAGGCACCTGTGGCTCCCGAGCCTGAGCCCGAGCCGAGCAGGACACGTGGGCTTGGGTCTCCCAGCAAGGTGGGGCTGGGGCTGGGGTACGTGCCTCGCCGCCGTCGCTATGGAGACTGGTCTTGCCTTGCTCTGTTGCTAAGGCCCGCTGGCCAATCAGCGCCCAGCCAGCCACATCCGTCCCTGTTGCCATGGCCCTGCCGGGCGCAGTAGCCAATGGGGAGGCGGGAGCCAGGCTCCAGTTGGAACGTCAGAGCTCTCCCCATCCTGCCCACTCCTCGGCGGGGTCTGGCTGTGCTCTTTGTTAGAAAGGGCGCTGGGGGCCCGTGCTAGAAGTCCGTGCTCCGAGCCGGATCCGGCCAGCTGCGCCCGCATCCTTCAGGCTGGATTTGTCTCGGATCTCAGCACCAGCCACACCCGCCCCTCCCCCACCTCCCCCAACCCCATCAAACAGCAGCTGATGCCTCCCAGTAAGGCAGGGCATAGGGGGATCATTATAACCCCCATCTTACAGATGAAAACACTGAGGCTCCAGTGGAAAGAACACCGGGCTGGAAGAGCCTGGGTCCAAATCTTGGCTCTTTCATTTCCTAGCTGTGGGACAATATGGCCCGACCTGGAGTCGGAACCCTTGGATTCCAGTCCCAGCTGTGATGCTCACTACCTGTGGGGCCCTGGACAAGCTCTTTCTTGGCCTCCATGTCATCCTCCTTCCGATGAGGGGGTTGAACCTTGGATAACGCCCAAGGTGCCTGCTAGCTTGTGGTCATGAGGCCTTTCCGATTCCCTAATCCTGTGATTCTGCAGTAGGTAAGGCTAGGTGGCCTTTCAAGCCCCCCACCCCCAAATCTAGATCCCACATGCTTGGAGGGAAGTCACAATCACCCAGAGCTCAGGGAAATAAGGGGCTTGGACCACACCAGGGGCTCTTGGGCAGCCCGGTGAAACCTAGGGACCCTTCTCAGAACCATGTTCTTAAAAGCATAAAAATATAGGATTTCAAAGAAGTTAAGTGGTATTAGAATGCATTTGTCCAAAAAGCCAGCTTCCCGGACCCCAGGCTCGGGCCCCTAGTGGATAGAAGGCGGTCTCTAAACTGGGGCCTTTGAGCTACGATCATACCGTGATGCCGGGCGAGAGGAAGTGCCTCGCTTGGGGCTCCTACAACCAGTAAGGAGCTGGGCCGGAATTCGAACCCTAGGCTCCCAGTCCTGGCTTGTGCCCCTAACCCTTCGAGGGGAGCAGAGCGTCTCTCGGAGAGAGCTTGTGCCCCCGTGAGTCCAGTGTGCTACTTCTGAAAGAGCCAGGGTTTGAGTCCAGGCCCATGTGACCTTGGGGCCTCCACTTCCCCCTTCGTGAGGTCAGGCCTAAGGTTCCTTCCACCTCTGACGATCGACGCCAGGTAGGAAGGGGCCCTAGAGTCTAAAGACCCGAGTTCAGGTTCTGGTCGGCCATGTGTTTTCCGACAAATCACATCACTCTCCTGAGCCTCAGTTTCCTCTTTTGTAAAATGGGGACAACCTTTTTGGTGCATTGTGAGGAAGGGGCTGCAGGCAGGAGGATGAGGATTATTCCCAGACAGTCTGTGCTAGCACAGCCCAGGGAGTTAGCCAGTGACAGTATTATTAAATGCGTTTTACAAATGAGGAAACTGAGGGCCTGAGAGACCCTGGCTTGCCTGTGGTTCCAGGCTCACAGATTCTGAGCTGGAAGGCTCACTGAGTGGACTCAATCTCAGAACCCGGTTCTCCTGATGCCCGAGTCCGGCGATCTCTCCTCTGCAGAAGAGGGAGGGGAGAAAGGAGGCGCAACAGAGAAGTGTGTAATCTCATGGGGTGTCCACACTGACTCTGGCCAGGTTAGGGAGCCCCTTCTACAATGTTCTCCTCTCCTCCCTTGAGCCCAGCCATGCTCCCCACTGTCAATCACCAGACCCAAGCATGTGCTTTCAATGACCTTTATTTGGCAAACTTACTTCATCAGAACTGGAAGCCAACATACTTCCCTCCTTCCTTGCTCCCTAAACCTGGACTGTGCCAAAAGGGGGTCCATCCACTCCTGGGCTCGATGCCCCAAATGGGACCCATGGCGTGGGTCGTGGCTTTCCCTGATGTGGATGGCAATGGCCAACCTTGGGGATGGCTGATGCTGGTGTCTGAAAGGCATCAGCTTCCACTCCTGTCAGCCCCCAGGAGTTTGGAGGGCAGACTGAAACAGAGAGGTCCCCGAGCCCTGGGGGCTGAGAACAGAGCCCTCCAGCTAACCTTAGGCAAGGAGGGAAAAATTAGCCAGGACAGGTGGTCACCAAACTCATCTAGTGCAGAGCCCGGTGAGAGGTGAGAGGCCTGAGCCACTGGGGTCTGGGGACACCTGTGGGACCTGGTGCTGGCTTCGTCCGAAGTGGAGGAACACACCCACCTCGGAGAGTCTGCCTGGACACAGCTTCATCGCTACAACCGACCAACAAATCGGCAAGGCCGAACTCTGTCCCCCCGTAAACAGGCCTTAAGAACCAACCCGGGGGGAGCAAAAAGGCCACAGCTCCCCCCTATACTCACAATGAGAACAGAAAACTGGCCCCGCAGAACCCCCAGGAGTGGGTGCCTGCAAGGGTGGGCTTAGCATTCCTCTCCAACGTGGAGGAAAACCACGCCAAGTGCTGAGGGAATCCGGGGAATCCAAGTGGCTGTCTGCCCGAGACCCCCGCGCCATCCGCCAGGAGCACCTCAGACCCGGCTGCCCCCTGCGAACTCAAACAACAGCAGGGCGGCCCAGAAAGTGTCGCTGGAGGTCTGCTCTGAGTCCCCTGGAACCTGGAACAGCAGACACAGAGTCATGTCCCAGGCTGCGCCATCTTGGGGAAGCCCCTTCCCCTCTGAAACCGTCAAATGAAGAAGTCTGGTCCCTAAGATCCCTCCAGTTCAGACACCCTACGCCCCAGCTGACGCCTACTGGCCACAGGACATCATTTAGATGTTCTCAGCCTTTGCTTCCTCCCCTGTAGCCCCAGAGTCCCTCCTGGCTCTGAGAGAGGCCTGAGATGATGGGAAGAGTCTTGGGGACCCACAATCAGAGGGCTTCTCCTTGAGACCCCTCCCAGCTCCAATCCTACGGTCGTAGACACTAGAAAGCAGACCCTGAATATCACCTCCAAACCGTCACTGATGGTCACAGCTTGTACCCCAATACCTGCCAGGGACAACAACCCTGTGACAGAATTCTGTCAAGGCTGACCTTGCTGCATAGGGCTTCATTGCTGACCATTCGCTGGCACTTTGCAAAGCCCTTTCTATCTGTCCATGCCTTCAACTGATTCTCATGATAGCCTCATTTTACAGATGATGAAACTGAGGTTCCAAGAGGGACCGTGACTGTCCCAAGTCAATGTAGTGAGTAGCGGATGCATTTAAAAGAATATGCATTTATAAGAAAACCCTCTCCTTGTGCCAGGTCCGGCCCCATGCTAGGGCTACACCAGTCTCTGTTCTCATGGCGCTGGCAGAATGTTCTGTTGGGGAGGTCATTTGAACCCCTCCCCCTCCTTGGGTCTAAGCAAGGGACATCTTTATCAATTCATTCCTTTCACATAAATTCTGTTTAGTTCATTTCTTCTTTTTTTCTTTTCTTTTCTTTTTTTTTTTTTTGCTTTTTGGTGAGGCAATCGGGATTAAGTGACTTGCCCAGGGTCACACAGCTAGTAAGTGCCAAGTGTCTGAGGCTGGATTTGAACTCAGGTCCTCCTGACTCCAAGCCTGGAGCTCTAGCCACCGCACCACCTAGCTGCCCCAATTCAGTTCATATCTTAAGCGCCTACTACATGCCAGGCACGCCTGGTAATGTAATGAGACTAATGCTGTCCCTTCTCTTCTGCCAAAGGCTTTGTGGCCCGTCCCATCCATGGGAGTCTGGCCCCACCCTGGATGCTCCCTTCCCCCACAGTGAGTTCAGGCTAAGCTCACTGCCCAAGACATCAGAGGGTCACCAAGAGATGACCCAGACTTCCCACGATGACGCAGGATGTGAACAGGGCTGACCAGTTCCAGCTCAGGCCCGGCTGCCCTGCATCCCTGAATCGCAGTCCCAGAAAGGACCTCAGAGAGCACTGAGCCCAGCCACTGCCCAAGCTAGAGTCCTGGAGCATGTGATGTAGCCGTCAGAAGACCTGGCTTCAAACTCTGCCCTTGTCCCCAACTGTCTGTGCTACCTTGGCTAAATCATTCGACATCTCTGAGATTCATTTTTCCTCACCTGTAAAGGGTGGGGGGGGGGAGGGAAAGACACTAAATGGCCTTGAAGGTCCCTTCTAACCTCTAAAGCCTCTGATTCTTCTGCAGAATCCCTAACTAGGAGCCCAAACCACTCCTCCAAAGACAGGGAGCTCACTACCCACAGACAGCCAAGTCCAGCCCGCTTTTGCACGAGCCTAACTAATTCTCACTCTGTTCCTCCTTCCACGGATCCAGATTCCTAGAGATATTTGTCCAGGACAGAAGGCAGCCCCATCTGCCTGTCTGTTACACGGTCAGGGTGGACGGGGAACAGTTGGGCAGAGGACAGACCTGGGAGTCAGGAGAGAGTGACTGGACCAGGATTTCATAGATATCGGCAAGTCCCAGAGGAGGACGCTCCCTCTGCCAATTCAGGCTGTCAACCTCTCTACAACTTATGAATCAATGAACGAATCAACACATAGGATTTCTTCAGTGTTTACAGTAAGTTGGGAGTCTTGGGAAGCTGCCTAGACCAGTGAGATGCTAAGTGACAACCAGGGTCACACATCCAGGACAGGTCAAAGGAAGAATGTGACCTCAGGCCTCCTTGGCTTCTCCAGACACCTGGAAAGAAACTGGGAGACCCACCTTAGATTCAATCCAATAAACACTTATTAAGCCTCTGCTGTATGCCTGGTCCTGTTATGTGCTGAGGGTACAGAGTCAAGAAGCATGCTGTCTGTTTACATGCCACTGGCTTCCAATCCCTGCCCTACCCTTCACCAGCCGTGTGAAGGGCCATGTTCCTACCCCTCTCCAGGTCTCATTTTGTCCATCTGTAAAATGAAGGTACTAACCCCTCACTGGGTGGTGGCAAGGATCTGATAAGCTTGTGTGGGCTCCGAGAAGGGCCCTTCCAAGAGACGCTGCTACTGAGGCAGTCCCCATGGCCCTCCCCTCAAATCGACCCCTCTCTCCTTCACCCCATTTGCCTTCCTCCACCCCCTTTTACAAAACAAGTGTCTGGAGGACCAGTCCAGGCCAGACGGACAAAGGAAAGGGATCTCTCCCCTTGCCAAGCCACAGAGAGGAAGAAGAAGGGCATTCACAATGAGACAGTGGCTCTTTGGGGCCAGCAGCGTGGGGCGGGGCGGGTCCTGCCCTAGCCAGAGAAGTGGCTGGGATATGCCTGCAGGGGCCCAGTAGCCCTAAAGCTGGAAATGGTCTGAGAGGCCATCGTCCCAGATGATGAGGCCCAGCGAGGGGAAGGGGTTCTCAGGGTTGCACAGCTGGTGTCAGAGGCAGCTTTTGAACTCAGGCCTTCCTGACTCCAGCCCAAAGCCCAGCCCACCCCCATCAGATATGGAGCAGGGAGGGGACACCGGCAATCATCTCTTTCTAGCCTCTCCTTTCAGGCCTCTCCTATCTAAGCCAGGGCCCTTGCCACTGAACCAGGGCCTCCTCTGGAGAACTGAGACAGGAAAGGGACGTGAGAGACTGGCAGGTCCGACCCGCATTGGAAATTCAGCTGAGGCCCAAAGGAAGCAAGGGACCTGGCCAAGGTCACATGGAAAGTTGAGGGCAGAAGCAGGATTAGAACCTATTTGGCTCTCAGGCCCCTCCCAGCTGTGACATTCCATGTTCTGAGGCCCCTCCCAGCCTTGACATTCCCTGTTCTCAGGCCCCTCTGGGCTCCTACATCCTATCCCTAATCAGAGTGATTTTTTTTTTAGGCGATTGGGGTTAAGTGACTTGCCCAGGATCACACAGCTAGTAAGTGTTAAGTGTTTGGTCTGAGGCCGAATTTGAACTCAGGTCCTCCTTACTCCAGGGCCGGTGCCACTGCGCCACCTAGCTGCCAATCCTATCCCTAATCAATCACATCATTTGGTTTTCAGGGCCCCCCTCTTCCATGGGCACAGACAAGGAAGCTGAGTCAGGGCTTCCTCCTTTCAGCTCCTTCACTTCCTGAAGAAGTCTGACGTCTCAGGAGTGTTAGGTTTGGAGCCAGAAGAGACCCACACCATGTGTACAGGTCACTTTGGATCTCTGAGCCTCAGTTTCCCCATCTGTAAAACTGGGTTAAGTGCACCAGTAGCTTTGCCCTTGGCCTTCCCTGGAACAGATGTGGATCTGACGCCATGGAAACAAACCTAAACTGCCCATCAGCCCCTGCAACCCTCCCCAGGGAATCCTGTCCCTGTGCCTGGGATGTCTGAAAACCAGCAGCAAAGCCGATGGGGCATGGACTCGCCATGAAGTCAGGAGGACCAGTTTCAAACTCTGCCTGAGTTCCTTCTAATCTGTGTGACCCTAGGCAGATCCCCTAACCTCTGCCCTCGGCCTGGTCCCTGCAGGGGCTACCCTGGAGCCGGCCTTAGCCTCAGCTGGGGTCCATGGGACCTCCCTCTCAGGCACAGGCTGATCAGGTCATTCAGTCCAGGCCCAGGGGCCCCAGTGCACAGCATGTGAGCCCCCTCTCTTGGGGGCCCCAGCACAGCACATGAACTCCCCCTTCCTGGGGGCCCCATTCATAGCATGTGACCCCCCTCACTCCTGGGGGTCTCATGCCTAGCACATGAGCCCCCCTCTCCTGGAGGCCCCATTCATAGCATGTGACCCCCCCCTCTCCTGGGGGGTCCCATGCCTAGCATATGAGGGCCCCTCTCCTGGGGGTGCCTTGCTTAGCACATGATGGGCCTTCTCCCGGGGGCCCCATTCACAGCAGGGCCCCCCAGACAGGAAATCTCTACTTCTAGGCTCCAAATCCAGGCACAGCTCAGGTGCTGGTCAGTGAAAGTTGTCTTTAGAGCCTGGCTGCCCCTCAGGGCTTTGACAGCCAAGGAAGAAAGTGCAGAGTTTCCTGGGTGGGGAGTCAAGAGTCTAGCGTCAGCCTCCGTCCTGGACTGAGGGGAACTCCAAGCAAGTTGGCATCTCTCTCTGAGCCTCAGTTTACTTCATCTGTAAAATGGGAACCTCAATCTGTGACGCCCTGAGTTCTAGCCCTACCTGAAGGCAGGTGGCCAGCAGGTGGGGGGAGGCAGGAAGGAGTAAGGCGGGGCCCAGATTCCCTGATTCAGGCCCCAGCTTTGTCACCCCTCAGCCTCCGACCTTGGCCCAGCCCTGCCTCGGCCTACATTGGGTAGGTAGGGAGTTTGGGTGAGAAGAAATGGCAGGAGGCAGACTGGATTTCTCGGGTGTCTTCCACTCTAAAAAACCTTAAGTCTGCAGCGGCCCAGTGGAAAGGGCTCTGGAGCCAATCAGGGGAACTGGGTTCAAATCCCAGCTCTGACATTGCTTAGCTCAGTGACCAAATCCCCTCTCAGGGCCTCAGTTTCTTCATCTGGAAAATGGGAATGATAATAACCCTTGGTCTACTTGCTTCACAGGGGGAAGTGATTTGTGAACCTGAAAGCCTAGGATGTAGGCACCCTGAGGGAAAGGGCACTTTCATTTTTGTCTTTATCTCTCCAGAGCTCTGCATGGTGCTGGGCATACAGTAGGCACTTAATAAAAGCTTACTGAATTGAATGTCATATGCCTCAGTAGAATGTAAGCTCTCAGAGGACGAGACAGTTCTATTTTTGAAAGGCTTTTGGGGATGCCTGTCTCCCCAGTACTGAGCACACAGTAGGTGCCTAATAATTGCTCATTGTCTGATTGGTAAAAGTCGGAGAGCTCTCCAAATGGGCTCCTAGCCATGGTGCCAGCTTCTTGAACTCCAGCATCTGTACCCAGGGCTTCGAGGCAGGCACACAATGAGACTGGGCTGGGGGAACAGAGAGGCCAGACTTTCCTCTTTCCTCTTCTGCTCAGGAGCACGGAGGAAGCCAGCTCAGACGCCTCACTCTCCAGGGACAAACGCACAGGGAAGGGAAAGCAGGGGCCCCCGCCAGCCCAGCCTTGCAGCAGGCCGTGGCTTCTGCCCCCCAGTCCGCCAGGTCCTGACCACTGCCCTCCCCACCTCCTCTCAGAGTGCCGCTATCCTCATCCGTACAGGAGTGCTCACCACCTCCTTCTCCTCCTCCATCGCATCCAGGCCACCCAGGGCAGCTCCAGGGTTTTCTGCAGGGGCCAGGTGGTTCTGCAGGGTAGAAAGAAGGCTGCGTCCTGGCCCCTGCCCACAGGGAGCTTATGCTCCTTCCGTGGAAAAGGACTCATACAGGGTCAAAGAAGGGAGCAAGGGTTTGGTCTAGAGAGGAAGGAGGAGGCTCAGGGCAGGACAGGAGAATGACCATTAACCAGCCATTTCCATCGCTTCCCTTTACTAAGCACCTACTATGTGCCGGGCACTGTGCGAGGTGCTGGGGACAGCAGTGAGCCAGTCCCTCCCCTCCATGAGTGGAGAAACAGAGGCTGCTTTAGATGGACATCAGGAAAAGTTCCCTGATAATGACAGCTGCCCCAAAGCCGCAAGGCCTGCCTGGGAAGTGGTGAGCTTCCCAGTCCTCAGAGGTATGCACGCATAGTGGGGATCCAGGATGGCAGCTGGGGTCCCTCCTGTCTCTGAGAGTCGGCATCTCCTTGTGAGGAGGGGACAGGGGGCCTGAGGACCCAAGGGCATTCTGGGGAGGGCCTGGACAGGCCCTGGGCTCCCTGCGACTGCGAGGGTCTATCCTCAGGGTTAATAATAAGACGTGGGGAACACAGAGCTCCCAGGAAGAAGGCCCAGCTGTCCCTCACAGGCGGGGTGGGGTCAAGGAGAGCTCTGAACCCCAACTGCCTCAGTCACAAGGACTCAGCACCTGCTGGGGAGCCTTACCTGGCCATACTCCAAAGGCTGGAGCTGGCCCAGGGCAGAAGCCTGGTGGGGACTCGAGGGTTTCTCCAGCACCATCTCTGAGGAACTGAAAAACAACAACAGCCACTCACGGTCCGCTGGTCGTGGAAGGCGGCTGCCTCTGCCAGGCTTGCCTTCCGTGCCTCAGTGGTGCTAGCGTCCCAGAGCTCCCTCAAAGGCTGGGCAAGGGGAACAGCTGGAAAGCCCTGGAAAGGAGCACCAGAAGGCCAGGACTGCCCGGGTCTGCCTGGTGGGAAGGGACTGGGTCTGACTGCCACCGCTAATGGCCGAGGTCACATGGACCTCATCAGGGAGGGGCTGCAATGTGCCCGAGTGAAGGGCTGATCAGCCCACGCCTGGAAAATCACAACCCATCCATGGGCTTTCTGCACAGCCACGTGGGTCAGGACCACCATCCCCAACTCACAGGTCGGGGATAACCCAAATGGACCTTTATGTAGAGCCTCAAGACATAACAAAGCATCATCTCACTGGAATCGTCTCACTGGAATCGGTCCTTGGAGACAAGCTTACTGTGAGCAGGCTCTGAAAGACTGAGTTTCCTCCTCCATACAATGGGAATGGTCCACCTCCACAAGACAGAGCTGTAATGATCCCCACCGGCCAACTGCCAGAGGCCCAGAGGGGGCTCTGTGCCCCAGCCCCCAACGCGTGCTTTGTATCCACTCCTGGGTATGTAGGATGCTCCACCCCGACCCCACTCGCTAGGACCCCACCTCTCAGAGGGCTACCCTTTCCCTGGGTCTTGTTCTGGTTTTTCCAGAACAGGATAAAGAAACTGAGGCCGAGAGCAAGCGAGATGATGGCAGCGTTCAATCTGTCAAGTCAAGAAGACTTTGGCTCAAGGGCTGCTTCAGACATTGACCAGCCTTGTGACCCTGGCCACGAGTCCAAGTCCAGACTCAAGGTCAAAGCAAGCACATCAGCCTAGAGTTTCCCCCTTCCCTGTGTCCAGTGAGTCCCAAGGAGAAGGTATTCAAGCCTTCAGCCAAACCCCAAACTATTCCCCAACAGGGGAGGAGACAGGGGATATCAGAGCTAGGAGGGGCCTTAGAACAGGGGATGTCTGAGCTGGGAGGGGCCTTAGAACAGGGGATGTCAGAGCTGAGAGGAAGATCAGAACGTGAGATGTCAGAGATAGGAGAGGCCTTAGAGCAGGAATGTCAGAGCTGGGAGGGGCCTTAGAACAATGAATGTCAGAGCTGGGAGGGGCCTTAGAACAGGGGATGTCAGAGCTGGGAGGAAGCTCAGAACATGGGATGTCAGAGCTGTGAGGGGCCTTAGAACAGGGGATGTCAGAGCTGGGAGGAAGCTCAGAATGTGAGATGTCAGAGATAGCAGAGGCCTTAGAACATGGAATGTCAGAGCTGGGAGGCCTTAGAACACAGAATATCAGAGCTGAGAGGGCCTTTAGAACATGGGATGTCAGAGCTGAGAGGGCCCTTAGAACATGGAATGTCAGAGCTGGGAAGAAGCTCAGAACATGGGATGTCAGAGCTAGGAGGGGCCTTAAAACAGGGAATGTCAGAGCTGGGAGGAAGCTCAGAATGTGAGATGTCAGAGATAGGAGAGGCCTTAGAACATGAAATGTCAGAGCTGGGAGGGGCCTTAGAACAATGAATGTCAGAGCTGGGAAGAAGCTCAGAACATGGGATGTCAGAGCTAGGAGGGGCCTTAAAACAGGGGATGTCAGAGCTGGGAGGAAGCTCAGAATGTGAGATGTCAGAGATAGGAGAGGCCTTAGAACATGAAATGTCAGAGCTGGGAGGGCCCTTAGAACAATGAATGTCAGAGCTGGGAAGAAGCTCAGAACATGGAATGTCAGAGCTGGGAGGGGCCTTAGAACAGGGGATGTCAGAGCTGGGAGGAAGCTCAGAACGTGGGATGTCAGAGCTGGAAGGAAGCTCAGAACATGGATGGTCAGTGCTTTTAATTCAACTTACTCTATTTGCAGCCAAGGAAGCTGAGGCCCAGAGAAGCGTCTTGTACTAGGTTCCAGGCGTAGGAAGCACCAGGCTTCCCTGGTTACGGAGTCAGAAGTCTTGGGTTCAAATCTCACATCTGCCACTTATTGCCTCTATAACCTTGCCCAGGATCACAACCTCTCTGGGTCTCAGTTTCCATCTCTACGGGATTGTGGGGGGGGGGACAGGGGGGAGGATCTGGTGACCTCTGAGGAATGTGTCCACACAGTAGGCATGATTCACATAATTAAGAAGCCAGAGACAAGGAGACTCTGCCAGTGCCCAAGCTTGGCTTTGCCTAGGAAGGATGCCATCTGGACAGGCCGCCTCTGTCCTCTCTCCCCGGGATGCACCGGAGGGAGCAACTGAAGCTGCAAACATGTCTCCTTTGACGTGAACAAAGGGCCAGCTTGGACCTTTCTCATAGGGTGCACGGCCCCAAAGCCTGGGGGACCCCACTTCTGTTACTCTACCTTTGTGGAAAGACATACTCTAGGGGTTCCAGCTGCTCTTCTCTGCACATGAAGCTGCCCACCTCCAAGCCTGGTTGTCCTCTGGCCACTTCAGAACGGGGCCCAGTGCCTGCCCTGAGAGGGCTCCTGTCCGGTGGAGCCCGGTAACCTGGGGTGGAGAAAGCAGAATGAAGAACCTCACCTCTGCAGAGTCCCGAGGACAGCAAGGGTCTGCGGGGTCCATCTTCCTGCTTGTTCAGGATTGTCTGGTCAAGATGGTCCCGTCGAAAGAGCTCCTTCCAACTCAGAGACTCTGGGGTGCCTGCCTGACCGACACCTGCCTTCCTGCCAAAGGGCTCTTCCTGCACTGACCATCCACCCAGCCAAGACCCACCCCCCCAGCTCAGGAAACCAGCCTCTCCCGATGACCACTTTAGCTGCCTCCTTTTTATGGAATGACCAAGCTGCGACTCAAATCCAAGTCTGCTAACGCTGTCCTTCCTTCAACTATACCGATATTCTAGGGTCCTTTCCAGCCCTGGCATTCCCTGTTCTGAGACCCCTCCCAACTCTGGTATGAGACCCTTCTCTGGGCCTCAGATTCCTCAGCTGCAAATGAATAAATTGAATTAAATGATCTCTAAGACCCCAGCACTGACCATTCATGTTCTAAGGCTCTTCTCAGCTCTGACATTTCCTGTTCTAAGACCATTCCCAATACTGACATCCCTGTTCTAAGAGCCTTCCCAGTCTGACACTCCCTATTCTAAGGCCCTTCCCAGCTCTGACATTCCCTGTTCTAAGCTCCCTCCCAATCTTGACATTCCCTGTTCTAAGCTCCCTCCCAACCTTGACATTCCCTGTTCTAAGCTCCTTCTCAACCTTGATATTCCATGTTCTAAGGTCCCTCCCAGCTCTGACATTCCCTGTTCTAAGCTCCCTCTCAACCTTGACATTCCCTGTTTTTAGGTCCCTCCCAGCCCTGACATTCCCCATTCTAAGGCCTCTCCCAGCTCTGACATTCCATGTTCTAAGAGCCCTTCCAAAATTAATCAATCAATTAACATTAAGTGCCTATGTGCCAGGCACTGTTCTAAGCACTGTGCTATTATTCATCTGGACTCAGTAGATAGAGGGCCAGCCTTGGAACCAGAAAGTCCTGAGATTGAGTCCTGTCTCTGCCTCTTCCTACCAATGTGACCTGGGCAGGTCACACGGGGGTCTCGACGTCCCAGACAACTGTCTAGGACTCTAGGCCCTCAATAGCTGGCAAACTGCCCTGGTAGAAGGAGTTCCTCACACAGTGAAATCAGAAGGCCCTGCCTCCCCACAATAGGCCTCTTCCCTTGTGGTTCACCAGGGGTGCTGTGGCCTGATGCCCCAGGGGGATGGGTTTCCTGGGCCACACTCCAGGAGGGGGCCCTGGTTTTCAGTGAAACTACATTTGAGTCTTGTGAAGGGACCTTGAAGTTTCCTGAGAAGGAAGAGCAGGAAAGGGCCAGAGATTATTAAAGACTGGCGGCTACATAGCGCCACAGTGCACATAGCACCAGGCCTAGAGTCAGGAAGACTCATAATTCTGAGTTCAAATCTGGCACACTCATTAGCTGGGTGACCTTGGGCCAGTCACTTCACCCTGTTTGCCTCAGTTTCCTCATCTGTAAAATGAACTGGAGAAGGAGATGGCAAACCGCTCCAGTGTCTTCGCCAAGAAAACCCCGGATGGGATCATGGAGCTGAAATGACTGAAGAACAACATTAGAGGCTAGCTCAGGGCCAGTCTTGGGCTGGATATCAGAAGCTTTGATCTCCAGCCCTGGCTCAGAGTGTCCTGAGGCTGAATCCCATTCACTTTCTAAACCTGCTTCCCATCTGAAAAAAAAATGAGGATGTTTGACTAGAGGAGGGCTGCTTAACCCGGGCTCATGAACTTCTAAAAACAATACTGATAATTGTCTTTAGAGATAATCGGTTTCTTCTGTAATCCCCTCTATGCATTTAAAATCATGATCCTGAGAAGGGGTCCAGGGTTCCAACAAAGTAAAAAGCCTCTGGCCCAGAGGATCCCAAGGGGCCCTTCCTCCTTGGGGGTTCCAGAGCGAGAAACCAGAAATGGACAAGATGGCCCTTGGATACTGAGCAAGTCCCTTCCTTTCCCTGGTCAGAAGAGGGGACTGGACGAGATGGTCTCTGAGGCTCCTTCCAGCCCCGAGGTCCTAGGACTCCTGGTTGATGCACTCTTCCCACCCCCTCCTACTGTGAAATAAAAGCCAGGCATTGTGGGGCCCATGCATGGAGAAGGCCACAGGAAGGGGGGAGGCAGCACTCTGACCTGAGAGTCTGGGGTCCCAGAAGGCAGAGAGGGACCCCATGGTGGCTGGCTCCTGGGACACTCCTGGGACAGGCTGCAGGAGCGCCAGCTCTTGGCCATAGATTGTCTCCTGGACCTGGTCTGGCAGCGACTCACAGGGGCCCAAGAGGAAGCTCTCGGGCCAGGGGACCAGGGCAGGAAGGACGGGCCCTGGCCTGCTGGCAGAGGCAGGAGGGCAGATAGCGGTGCTGCGGCCTTCTCCAGGGAAGCTGGGTCCTGCTGTCAGCTTCTCAACCGGCATCTCGCTGCTTCTCACAAACCTGGGGGCAGAGACAAAAGGAGGGGCAGGCAGCGAAGGAGACAGGCCAGGGTACGGCATGCGAATTCTGAATGAGCTCTGACCAAGGCCCAACGCTTCTGAGTGGTCACAGAACATGGTGCTGGTGTTAGATAAAGAGATTGGCTTAGGCTGTGACCGGCAGGGAAGGAAAGGGGAAAACAAAAACTGGCTAAACAGAAATGAAAGAGTATGTGAGGCAGCAAGAAACATTAGAACAAAATCAAAAGACTGAAAAAATAGAAGAAAACAGAACCTGACACTTTTTTAAAAAAACTGAAGTGGAAAGCAGATCAAAGAGAGATAATTTAAGAGTCAGTGGACTCTCTGAAAACCAGGATTCAGAAAAAAAATCTATTAGAACCTGAGGGCAAAGTGAAGAGAGAAAAGATCGACTGGTCATCTCCTGGAAGAACCCCACAATGAAAATCCCCAGGAACATTTAGAGTCAAAATCTAGAGCTTCCACGTCAAAGACAAAATTCTGCAAGCCATCAGAAAGCAAAGCAGGGATTCAGGTACCCAAGGGCTAGGGTCAGCATCACATGAGACTGGGCAGCTTCTCGTAAAAGCCAGAGAAAAGGGTGCTACCCACTGGGGACAACTGTACAAAGCAGAATGTGAATGGGATGGAAGACTGCTCCTAACTGACATTCGAGGCCCTCCCTATCCCTGACCCCAGCCAGACTGGACTCCTTCGAGCCTCTGTTCTCCAGGGCTCCCGGCTTCTTGCCTTGGGTCACACCAGCCCTGACGCCTTCACTCTCATCCCCGTCATTCAAAGTCTCATCCCTACGGGCCCAGTCAAGGGCCTCCTCCTTCATGTAGCTTCCATAAGTTAGGACTCCTTCTCCCTCCACACAATCTCCACCCTTTGTGGGACTGTCTTATTTCCCAGTTGATGGGGAGCTCTTGGGAGCCTAGCCCACCTGGGCCATGCCCCTAAATGCCTGCCTCAGTGCCCAGCAAGGCTGTGCACATAAAGGGAGCAGAGAGAGGCTTACCAAAGGGCTGCCCTTACCTGGCATCCAGCAGCTTGGCCAGCCCCTCCTCTTGAGGGCACCTCAGGCCCAGCATGGGTGGCTCCCATGCCAGCTCACAAGGACCCAGGGGGGCCTGAGGGGGCCCCAGGTGAACATCTCCCTGGAATCCAGCTGAAAGCAGAGAAGGAAACACCCAAAGGTGATAGAGTTAGAGGGGTCCGGGGCTCTTGGGCAAACTGCCCTGTCTACCTCAGCTCATTTCTAAGGGGATGCTGGAAAGAGCTCTGGGCCTGACTGACCCGAGGGAGAGTCTGTGTTGGAGCTCCACCTCCGGGCACTCAACAGCTGTGTGACCCTGGGCAAACCACACCAACCCCATAGAGTCTCAGTTTCCCTTTCTGTAAAATGGGAGTAACACCAATAGTGTTGAGCTCCTAGAGCTGGCCTGAGGATCAAAGTTTGGAAATCACCTTACAAATACACTATCTCATTTGAACCTCACAATAATTCCAGGAGGGAAGCACTATTTTCATCCTCATTTTCCAGATGACAAAACTGAATCTGAGAGAGGTAAAAAGTCACACAGCTAGCTTTTCAATGTCTGAGGCAGAATTTTAACTCAGTCCTCCTGAGTCCAACTGGCTTTGGCCCTCAGTTTCCTTATTTGTAACATGGGGAAGTTAGATTGGGTGAAGTCCCCTCATGAGGCTAGGACCTTGTCAGGGACACGGAAAGCCCATAAACTCCCCTGTCCCACTGCCAGCCAAGCGGGGGGCCCGCACTGCACCTCTCTGTCCCCACCCCTCCAGAACAGGATCAGGAAGGAGACAGGAAGGTGGTGCCAGGAGATCTCTCTGCATTTCCTAGCTGACGGATTTTCCTTGATGTCCCCCCAATGCTGGAAATGAGAGGAGACCTACCTTGGGGCTGGTGGCTGCAAGGTCCGTCGTCCAGCCAGGGCTGGGCTTCTGGTGCAGATCCCTCACCTTGAGGAAAGGCCAGGAACTTTGCTTGTCTCTGGAGGGACGACCTCTGTCGCCGGCGGTAATTGGCAAACCAGTTATAGATCTGGTGGGCCTGCAGGCCCGTCTCGAAGGCTAGTCTCCCCTGCGGCCCCCAAGGAGGCAGAGAGAAATCAGAGAACCCCAGAGATGAAGACAGCCAGAGACAACGAGAGCCACAGTGGGGGATCCCAATGCCCTACCATCAGGGCTTCAGTGAACCCGACAGCGCCGTGAATGCTGAGGCTCCTTCTGCAGCTCTGAGAGACTGATCCAAAACTGCCTCTGTGGTAAGGCCCCTGTCAGTGGGCTAACCCTTGGCCGCCCAGGGCTTTCCTGGATTCAGAGGATACAAGATGCAGAGCCAGAAGGGGCCTGATAGACCATTTAGACTAATCCTATAGAATCTTGGCTACCCCTGCACACCTGCCCCTATTCTCATTTAGGGGAGCCAGGCCCAGCCAGCCCACCTACCCGCTGCTCCCTGTTAGGGTTCGTGGTCACCCCTGCAGCAAAGCCCACGAGCTTCTGGCGTACATCTTTGGAGAAGTTGCGGCTCTTCGGGCCCTCAGGGCAGAGGGAAGGAGGAGGAGGGTTCCTTTGGGTGGGAGAGAAGCAGGCCCCAGGGGAGCAGAGCATGAATGCCACACCCTGGCCGATCCCTGCTGCATCTGTGCCCAAGCCCACCACCCCAGAACAGAGGCCAGTCAGTGCTCCCCAGTACCTTTTCCTGCAGCGAAACTTCTGCACGGGCGTCAGGGAGTCCACATGGTATTTGTCCATGACCTTGCGATAGTGAATCTCATTCCAAAGCTGGACCAGCTGCTCCCTCTCACCAGCCTCCCTGCAGTGCTGGGATTGAACGGCAGAACCTTAGGCTCAGAGGCACTGGGTTCAAATCCTAACTCTGATGTGTGACCTCGGGCAAGTCACTTCACCTCCCCGAATCTCCACCTCCTCCTCTGTAAAACAAGGGGTTAGACTAAATGGCCCCTGAGGGCCTTTCAGCTGTAGATCCAGGATGCTGTGATTTATTCCAATTGACTTACATTTCACAGATGAAGAAACTAAGGCCCGACAGGTCCACTGGTCTGCTAGGGTCAGTGTAGAGTACTAGATGGACAGTTAGCCTTGGTGCCAAGATGACCTCCTCCTGCCTATGACAACCTGGGCAACTTTCTAAGGCAGTTAGGCAGTCAATGAACATTTATTAGGCCCCTACTGTGTGCCAGGAGCCAGCAGCACTAGGGCTGGAGTCAGGAAGACTTGGCCTCAGACACACTACTAGTGGTATGACCCTGGGGAAGTCACTTAACTCTGCCTTAATTCCCTGGAGAAGGAAATGGCAAACCAGTATCTTTGCTAAGAAAACCTCACGGACAGTCCGGTCCATGGGGTCACAAAGAGGTGGACACGACCGCATGACAAATGTGCCAGGCACCGTGCTGAGCGCCGGGGATACAAGAAAAGGCAAAAACCAGGCCCTGACCTCAAGGAACTTATCATCTAACTACAGACAGACAGGTGTATACACACAAGACAGAGACACTTGATGTAAGGGAAGGTCGCAGAATGAAGGGGGTTTGCAGCAGGTTTCCTGTAACAAGGTGGGATTTTAGCAGGACGTGAGGAAGCCAGGGATGTCAGCAGTCAGAGCAGAGGAGAGAGGGCATCCAGGCCCGGGGGACGACACCTTGTTGATGGAACGTAGCTGCATCAGAGAGGACTTGTCGGGGAGGAAAGCGTGAGAAGCCTGGAAAGATGAGGGGGTGCTGGGGATGAAGGTTTTTAAATGCCACAAAAAGGATTCTGGGTTCGGTCCAGGAGCCCATAGGGAGTCAGGGAGGGTGACACTGTCAGACCTGAGCTTTAGGAAGATCACTCTGGCAGCTGAGTTGAGGGGGCTGTGGAGGGGGAGAGATCTGAGGCAGCAGAACCCCCAGCAGCTGCTGCAGCTGTCCAGGGGCGGGAGGGTGAGGGCCTGCACCAGGGTGGGGGCAGGGTCGGAGAGAGGAGGGGGCCTACGGTGAAACGGACAGGAGGTGGAGGGTGAGAGACAGCGAGGAGTCAGGCACTGGTGCCCTCCACACATGGTGGACTGCAGCCCAGTCTGAGATGTCTGAAAGGCCTTCGGGGGTCAGCAGAGACAGATCCGAGAGCTGCCAGCACGGAGCCAGTGACTGAATCACCAAGCAAAGCAGTGATGTTATAATCATGTAAGCCACTAGGCCTCCGGATAAGTGCATGGGCTTTATGACAACTGTTTCGCTCCCAGCGGGGATCCCTCTGTGCAGCTCAGCCCCACTGTGGCTGAAGCTGCTGCCCCACATGAGGAGGGCCCCCACAGCTCCGAAGGCACGTCCTTCTGGCCTGTGCCTCCTCCTGCCCCCATCCCCACCACGCAGCGGGCTCCTACCTCTAGAAGCCGACAGGCTGACTGGTGCTGGCCCCGACCGGCAAGGATGAGGACGCACACTCGGACCACATCCATGCTGGACAGAAAATACTGCCAGTGGGGGCTTCCCAGCACCGCTTCCACCAGGGGTTCCAGCATCAGAAGAGGGCTGCTCCGGAGCTCTTGGCACAGCCTTCCAGCCAAATGCACCAGCTCTGGTGGGGGGGCCGGAGAAGCCCTGTGCTCCTCCAGCAAGGCCAGGAAATGCTTCATCTTGGCACCTGGAATCCCAAATAGAAGAGCTGGGAGGGAGCTTAGAACAGGGGACGTGAGGGCTGGGAGGGAGCTTGGAATGGGACGTGAGGGCTGAGAGGGAGCTTAGAACAGATGTGAGGGCTGGGAGTGAGCTTAGAACACAGGAGGTGAGGGCTGGGAGTGAGCTTAGAACAGAAGATGTCAGGGCTGGGAGGGGCCTTAGAACAGGGAAGGTCAGAGCTGGGAGGGGCCTTAGAACAGGGGATGTCAGAGCTGGGAGGGGCCTTAGAACAGGGGAGGTGGGGGATGGGAGTGAGATTAGAACAGGGGAGGTCAGGGCTGGGAGTGAGTTTAGAACAGAAGATGTGAGGGCTGGGAGGGAGCTTAGAACAGGGGATGTCAGGGCCGGGAGTGAGCTTAGAACAGAAGATGTGAGGGCTGGGAGGGCGCTTAGAACAGGGGATGTCAGGGCTGGGAGAGGCCTCAGAGCAGGGGAGGGAGCTGGGAGCATACAAAGAACTTGAACACTGAACGTCAGAGCTGCAAGAGTCCGAAGTGATCTACAGCCGAGCCCTTCATAATCCAGATGAAGAAACTGAGGCCCAGCCAGTGGCTGGCCTGGCCCCTACAGCCTGTCTCATGCCCCTCAGGCGCCTTCCCCTTTATAAAGCAGCAGCTTTCGGTCCTCAGAAGGGCCTTCTTCCCAGGGCACCGGCTCCCTGGCCACGTCCTCAGCAGGACGTGGGGCCCCCCTCCTCCCCCCTCCTCCTGCCTCCCTCCCCCTCTTCCTCCTCCGCCCTCCCCCATCCCCCTCCCCCTCCCCCTGCCCCCCTCCTCCCCTCTTCCTTCTCCCCCTGCCCCCCTCCCCCCTCCTCAGGGGCCACTCACCCGCTGCTGGAGAGAGCCCCGCCTGGGAGCCCACAGCAGTCTCCATGAGACAGCCTGCAAGAGAGGGAAGAGGGTCAAGCGGGAAGTGGGGGGGGGGCTTCTGAGTCGGAAGCAGAGGGTTGAGAGCTAGAAAGGGCCACAGACGCCATCCAGTCCCCCCTCGTCCTTCCACCAAAGTTGGAGTTTGTGTGACCACCCCAAGGTCACACAGTCAAGTCAGGCTTTTCCCTTAGAACAGGGGATGTCAGAGCTGGGAGGGAAATTAGAACAGGGGATGTCAGAGCTGGGAGGGCTTTAGAACTAGGGATGTCACGGCAGGAAGGGAAGTTAGAAGGCGGATATCAGGGCTGCGATGGAGATTAGAACACAGACCCTCGAGAGTCCAGTGGGGGAAGGACACAGTGGCACCCGGCCCCCACACACGGTGAGTCTAAGCCCTCGGGGCCCCTCCCCCTTCCCTCTAGCCCTGGGGAAACTGAGGCCCGAGTCCTAACGTGGGCGGCACCCCCCCCAAGGTCCAAAGGGTGGGGTTCAGGGGCGGGGCCGACCTGGAACTCACGGCTGGCTTGGGCTGCGGCCGGACGGGCTCGGGTCCCGGGCAGCCCCCTGCCTCTCAGGGCAGGGGCTGCAGAGGTTCGAGGCTCGGCTTGGACCCCGGCCTGTGGGTGGGGTCTGGGGACTGGCGGTGGCGTCGCGGCCCGGGGTGGCGCCTGGGGCAGAGGGCGGGGCTGGGCGGGGCGGGGCAGGGGCGACACTTTGTAGCCACTGCTTGGTGACAGCCCCGGAGCGGGAGGGGGGCCCCTTCCCCCACGGGGGTCAGCGCCAGGTCAGCGCTGCCGCGGGCGGGGCCGCTGAGGGGGGGGCTGCCCGGGGGTCCGGGCTCTGCCTCTGCGCGTGTGACCCTGGACCAGTCACCTCTCCTCCGATCCTTTGGCTCCAAATAGGAAACATCCCTGCCTGCGCCCAGCACGTTCTAAAGGCTTCCCATCCGCGACATTCCTTGTTCTAAGCACCCCCCCCTCCACGTCCACTGTTCTAAGGCCCCTCCCGGCTCTGACATCTTACCTTCAAAGTTCTATGTCATCTCTGATACTCCCTGTTCTAACCCCCCCCCCTAGCCCTGACATCCCCTGTTCTAAGCATCCCCAGCCCCAGCCCTGACATCCCCTGTTGTGGGGCCCCTCCCAGTTCAGACATTCTGTCTTCTAAGTCCCTATCAGCTCTGTATGTTCTATGGCCCCTCCCAGCCCTGTCATTCCCTGCTCTAAGGCCCTCCTAGCCCTGATATCCCCTGGTCCGGGGCCCCTCCCAGCCCTGGCATTCCCTGTTCTAAGGCCCTGCCAGCCATGACATCTGTTCTAAGGTCCTTCCCATCTCTGATATTCTATGTCATAAAGGCCCTCCCAGCCATGATACCCCTTGCTCTAGGCCCCTCCCAGCCCTGCCATTCTCTGAGGCCCTCTCAGCCATGACACCACCTGTCCTAGGCCCCTCCCAGCCCTGGCATTCCCTGCTCTAAGGCCCTCCCAGCCGTGACATCCCCTGGTCTGGGCCCCTCCCAGCCTTGACACTGAGTCTCAGGCCAGGCGAAGGGTCAGGAAGCCTAAGCCCCTTTCCCATCCTGGCCACGCTCCCCCAGACATCCTGGACAAGGGCTCCTCTGATGTGGAGGTGGCCCACAGGTGCCTTCCTGCTGCCCCACACATGAGGCCAGGGACACGGAGGCTGCATTAGATTTTTATTTCTCTTTCCCATATTTACACGTATGTACAACTAGTGTTGACATATGATACATTATTTCACAGAATTATCTTACACCCCTTGACAAGGGAGGCCCCACTAAGCTTTGCTCTGGCCTCCTCACGGCGCGCAGTGGGGCGGCCCCCAGCCTCCAGGGCAGCTTAGTGCCCATTGGGCTGCTTCCAGGCTGCCCAGTCCTCAGCTCCGGGGCCCTCAGGGCGCGCTAGCGTGCATCTTTTCCACACAGCTGGCCCAAAATGCCACCAGGCGGTTGTCACGGTTGACACAGAAGTCAGTGAAATCCTTCAGCAGCCTGTCGGCAAACTTCTCGTCCCCGGTGGCGCTGGAGCGCCATGTCTTGGTCAGCATGGTGTTGTAGGCCCAGTGGTAGCCCACGCGCTCCTCGCAGAACATGTTCTGGCCAGTGGAGCTGGTCGAGTTGCGTCTGCGCCGCTGCTGGCCCGAGAATTTGCGCTTGGAGTAGGGCAGCTGCAGGAAGACGGTCCCTACAAGAGAGGGCAGGAGGAGACGAGTGAGGCAGCCATGTCCGTGGCAGCGAGGGAGAAGGGACACGGACGAGCCCGCGGAAAAGCCCCCACCCTCTACCCAGGCACTGCCTTCACCGGGGCCACAGTGCCTCCCTTCCCTCCCTTCCTACATGCAGACTGGCAGGCTTCCCAGGGGGAGAGGCCAGGGGGACGTGCTATGTGCGGCGGCTCCCTGCCAGTCTAGGAGGGTGATGAGACACCAAGTCCAAGGCTGGAACACCTGGCATTACCCAGAAGGGTCAAACTCGGGGGCACAAGGCCCCAAAGGGGAAGGTCATCACAGGCTCCCCAGACTCACGGACCTCAGCTAGCAGGCCCAGTGACTGGGATCATCCAGTCTCTGCCTGAAGGCGTCGAGGTGAGGGAGAGACCTCCCCACCCCGAGGTGGCCCGCCCCACTATGGGAGGTCTTCCTAGACCTCAAACCACCACGGAACCCTTGGTACTTCCCCCCACCTGTGGAGATCTGACCTCTGGGCCAAACACAACACAGATCCCTCTGCCAGGGGCCTTCAGAGCAGGGACCAAGCCAGAAGGAAGCAGTGGCTCTCGGGGAGCGCAGGGAGCAGAGTTGGGGCAAAGGGCTTCACTGGACCACACGCACACTGAGCCCCACCAAGGCTCCACACCCCGCCTCCCGCACAAGCCATTCCCAGGAAGGAAAAGAAGCTGGCACCCCCCCCCGTGTCTCCCTGTGCTGCCTGCCCACCATGCCCGCCAGGGAGGCGAGTGCGGCCCCTCCATCCCTATGCCACCAGGGAGAAGGGCATTTGGGGAAATGCTGCTCTGGAGAGCTCCACAGGACGCAGCACCCAACAGGAACTGAATATCAGAAGTGGGAGGGACCTTAGAACAAAGAACCCAGATGGGGAAACCTGGAAGGGACAAGTCTTGGAGCCCAGAACATAGAATGTGGGACGTCAGGGCTGAAAGGGACACCAGCGGCATCTAGTCCAATGCCATGGCTCACAGAGGGGGAAACTGAGGCACAGAGAGGCGCTCTGCTCTCACACGGGGAGTCCTGTGTTCGGTTCTAAGACATGGATGAGCTGCAGCATGTCCACGGCAGAGGGACCAGGGAAGGGTCTCAAGATTATGCCACAGCAAGTGTGATGAGCCTCGTTCCACTTGGCCCCGGGGGGGCAGTGGGGGGGTCTGAGAGCAGAGGAAAGGGCAACACGGCCTCTTTCAGACCCAGTGTGGAGAACCTTCCTGCCAAGGGGCGCTATCCCCAAGGAGCACGGGCTGCCTCGGGCCCCTCCCTGAAGGTCACACATTCAGTTAGGAGCAGCAGGGGCACACAAAGCCGAATCTCCTGCCCACGTGGGGAGCTGGACAGTTCCTAGCTCCGTGGCCCACGGCTGGCCTCACCTAACCACACTCGCTCAGGGTCCCTGGCTCCTAAAGAAGGGCCGGAGCCAGGCTCAGAAGTCAGGCTGCCCCAAGAGGCAGCGCCCTCCTCTACATCCTCCTGGGCTTACCTGGTGTGGAGGGCAGGGGGCTGGCCTGAGCACCTGATGGAGTTAGAGGGGCTGTCCCCTCTGTGGAGCGCCTGTGGGCCCCGAATTCTGCAGCGCCCACGGAGGAAACACTTAGTATGTGCTTGCTGGCTGACCCACTGTGTGTAATGAGGGGGAGAGAGGACCCTGCCTGAGCCTCCAGGATGGTGAACTGGGGCCCTCCGCGTCTCCCTGGGGACGAGGAATCAGGAGCAGCCACGCGGGGCTCCCCCTCTGCTCCCTAAGAAACACCTTCTCCCCTCCTGGCCTCGCCTCGAGGTGCCCAGGGCCCAAGGCCCAAGTCTCCGAACCTCCACCTCCTCTTCTAGACCAAAGGCTCCCTTGCTCCGAGGCCTTCTGAATCCTCGAACACCGAGGGTGGCTCTGTATTCTGCCCAGGGGGCAGGGACGCTCACACTCACAGATACACTTATACCATGCACAAAAGACATACAGAGACATACATGTCATGCCCACACTCACACATACAAACATATACACACTCGCACTGCACACACAGACATACTTACACAATACACACCACACATACCACACACAGCACACACATTTATACAATATACACCATGCACACACCACACACACTTCCATGTATGTACATATGCCACACACACCCACACACAACATACCCACAACACCACAATACACATTTATACATCATACACACAATGCCACACATGTATACAACATACATCATACACATAACACACACCACACACTTATACAACACGCCCCACACGGATAACCACACATCACACCCTTTTAATAACACACACCCACCCCCACCCCCCACACACACACACTGTCAGACACCTCACAGCGTCATGACTGCTATTCCCACACCGCAGAGGCAGACAGCATCTTTCTTCCAACAATGTGAGACACGGTGCACACGATTCCCCCTCCCCCCACCTCATCCTGTGGGTCAGCCTGGGGGAGGGAGAAGGACCCATTTTTAAATGGGCACTTAACCCAGTTTACAGATGACGTGACTGAGGCCTGGAGACGGTGACTCAATTGAGGTCAGAGTCGAGAGGAACGTGATTTCCAGGCCAGGCCTCCTCCTCTTCCTTCTGGCTCGACCAGGGGAGGACAAAGGGGGGGGCCTGTGAGCTCCGGGCCTGGACCATTTGTCCAGGTCGTGAAGGCCACCTTGGCAGCCACTGCCCACGCTGCCCTGGATCTGTGACATGGCGCGTTGTCAGGGAGGCCGCTACTCTGCCCCGCCTTGAAATAAGTTGGCGGGAGGTGGACAGTGACCTCGGGGACCAAACACAAGGTCCCAAAGGAGAAGGTCCCTGTTCCCCCTCTGGCAACCCCGGGACAGCAGTACGCAGCAGAGTCGGGAGCCCAGGGTCTGCATGTGCCTCGGCCCCCTCGGCCCACGTACGACAGAGGCGCTATCGTCCGTGTGACCGCCACCCTTCGCCAGGACTGTACGCCGTCCCCCGCTCTCCCTGCCTCCCCACCCCCCGACTCTAGCTAAGCTGCCCATGACAAAGGGCACATGCCCAGCCACCATGCTTCCAAGGCCACGAGGTTTCCCCTTCCCCAGGGCCCCCGCGCCCACGCACCTGTGACGTGGATGTACTGCGGCTTGTTCTCGGAAGGGAAGTTGAAGGCAGAGGCAGAATATTTGTCTTGCACAAATCCAAACCTGAGGAAATGAGAGGGAGCTGTGAGTGGCCTGAGGAGGCTCTAGGTTCATTCAGCCTGGCCCATGGCCCATCCCCCTCACTGGAGCCTTTCCTTGATTGCATCACTCGAACTCACTTCCCTGGGG